TGCCGGGACGAGAAAAGTTATTTATGACGAATAACAAGTGTAAGAGTATCGGTACATTGGCATACATCCAACCAAGTCTTCAGAATTCCTACAAACACTGGATAAATAATGGAACGGTCCGATACTATATGCGCATTTTCCGTCGTTACCCTTTTGAACACAGCAATTCGCTCTTGGAGGGGTTGTTCATTTTTGTCCGTTGGGAGAAACCGCCAGTCACGTTCTTTTGCACAATTCAAACACTACTCACAACTGAAGGACATCTTATGTTGCTAGTCTTCAGCGTCGAACTCCGGCGGTTCCAGTTCATTTGGAATTTCAAAGATTTTGATATGTGAGTGTTCCGCGTGATAATGTCATTATACCGCCCGGTCGCACCACCAGATTTACTAGTCTAAGGCTGGGACAAGTTTTTCTCCGACTAAGAGGAGCCTTATTCTGTTGGTTTGTAATGTTTAAAATTGTCACGTGATTGATTAGATTTCGGGTACACTTCATCCACAATCGGTTTTAAACCGGTGATTAAGGTTCTTGTGGCAGTTTAAACTGTGGCCCACCCAGAAGTTGCATCTGAGAGGAACTTCATCAAATCAGTGGTTTTCCGCCACCTACGAATGTGACGAATCATTTTGGAAGATTTTGTCGGATCCGTATGCACTCTGTCTCGCACACACACCGCTACTGCATCAGCAACCAGTAGAATCTGTCTTGCGTGATGTTGGGATTATTAAGCAAGCTGCTAAGGGTCATCTCGGATAACCGAAACAGTGAATTCGATAAATATGTACCAGTGATTACTTGGGGGCACACCCACAATTGTACAATCTGTTCTAGGTGCTCTTCCGGTATTGTGTGTGTGACAGGTTGACCCGACAGCGTTCCAAATTTTCCTTTTCCAAGTTTTCGCGTCATGCCATTTCCAAAATGGGAATTTTGTATGTCGATTGTGAAAAGTTCAGTAGCCTCGGTGGGATTCGATCCCACGCATGGACGCCGCCTACGCTTTGTACGCGCATGCTCTACCATCTGAGCTACGAGGCCACACCGATAGCACTGATTTGAACAAAATGGAAATTGCAAACTAAACATATCCGATCACTTTGTATTTTCTTTCTCATTCTTTTCTTGTAAACTGACAACGGGACGGGCTTAACCACCGATTCAGTACATCCGATACTAACTGTTTTGCATATTGAATCAGTGCGCGCGCGTGTGTGTCTGTGTAAATGTATGTATGGTCAAGGTTTTATCATCGTAGGCACGTTATTAATTCAATTCAATAAATTCCTAAGTCTGCAATTATCATCTCCGGTTGATTTTATCCTGCTTGTGTGTTAACGTAGTTGTAAACACGTGCAATTTTGATGTATTCCGTTCGGTATTTTTTCGTCTTTGTGGAACTCTGAGCTGGTAAGGCGTCCGGTTTTCTGGGTTTCCATTTTGCTGTTTAATTTTTCAGGTTAAAACTTAGACCACTTCGGCAATCGAATGCAGACCTGTTTATATAATCACCACAGTTTGTTGAACCTAATGCCTTCTTCTCAATCGATCGTTTCAAACTTTTCGTTTCTTTTTGTTGCTGTTGTTTTTCCAAGGCGGTCCCCGCGTTTCCTTTAGTCTGGGCGCTGGCGATCGACAGACAATACAACCTGCTCATTGCCTGACAATTCCGGTGACCCGAAATTGTGTCGCCCTCCTATTCAAACATTTAGGTGAGTTTTCGCTTCTGTTTATCACACACCCCACATTCCTTCCCGTCGTCCTCTATCATTGCAATTGTACATCGTTTGATGCGTCGTTGTGTTTTCCGATTGATTATGTATGTATATGTATGTGATGAAGTGGAAAAAGCATCCTCTTTTGCTGTAATCATTTATTACCTGTGCATTGTGTTATTGCAGTGCGATCGAGTAATACCCCTCCCTGGTATGGTACCAACAACCTACGTCCCTTAGACTGGTTTTCCATTGTGGAAGCAGCTGCTCTGATGTTCTATTTTTATTACGAAGTTACTCACATATAGTGTGAAATCAGTTTGAGCTGGATTCGATCATTATGCTCAGTAATGATGCATGAGGAGGAAATCCAGTGAGGGTCAACAGATTATGTGCAGACGAGGCATGAAGAAATGCGTAGAGAGTGGTTCAGTTTGTACATCCATTAACTACGTATATCCGTGCGCCGGTTTTGGTTGCTGTCTTTTGGGTGCCCATTTGGATAAAGAATAGGAGAAGAAAGGAATCGAAAAGAAAATGGAGAAGTTCAGTGGTCTAAGGTTGCGAAGAAATTGAGATGCACGAACGCCACTGTTTGCGACATCCAGCCATATCACTCAGTGTCTCTAACCATCGGTTACGATCATCCCGAGGTCCCCAGCTAGGGAGCCTAACAGGACCTATTTGACCAGAGAGTGGTTAGGTAGAGTAGGTGTCTCGCGCGTTCCTGGTTGGGGTCGAAAGACTGCCAGTGGTCGGTTGGCGGATATGGCAACGAACCGACAACAGTGGTGTTCTTGTCATTTCCTCTCAGACTAGAATACTTGAAAATGTGTGTATCCACAGTTAGATTGTGTACTCCGTGTGTTAATCATGGAGGTTCCGTCCCCC